TATAGAGATTGCAACCCGGTATGTCCGGGTCCGGTAACATTTAAGATGTGTTAGGATGAAACCTTTAAAGTATTTCATGAAATTTGCTTTAAGTAAATAGAGGAAAAATACAATGATCCAAGGTTACGGAATAATATTTAATTCAAATATGCAAATCAATATTATTCAGTCTCAAAATCACGAGTTTTTAATACAGAATTAGTTAGTTTCACTTATGAACGGAATAGTAACATTAGTGTTATTAATTAATTTTAAGCAAACATTAGCCACGTAAAGGCACGTTAAGCCGTTGGTCCCGGCTGCATCTGCAGTCGTTAGTAGCCAATCCTCACTGGGCCCGCGTGGTGCGTCACGGCCCAATCTCCCTATTCCATCCATGGGGAAGGCCTGTGCTCCAGCAGTGGGGACATTAATAGGCTTATGATGATGATGAAGCATTAGTATTCAGTAATTAAGTTTAGGATACAAATGATCTTCCACGCGCTAATGAAATGCCTGGATTTAGAGGATTTCGAGAAAAAGTTTGGAAAGTAGTCAGATTGTTTAAGAAGTCACCCGCAATTTAATTACCAATACTATACAGACTAAAGAGAAAGACCTGCTTGCTTAAAGTTATGAAATGAAATGAATGAAATTAAATGTCATTTATTCAGTCTAGGCTGTTACAAGCACTTGTGAAGGTCAAGAAGCTACGCCATCGGTTCGCAAAACTACGGCGGGAGACCTTGTACTTAGAAGAACCGGCGAGAAACTCAGCAAGGGCTGTTTTTTCCTCCCTGTATTGTTATATACAGTGTCGTCAAGTTGAAAAATTACTTCAGAAATACGTCTGAAGTCACTTTCCATTACATCATCTAGAATATAAATATATAGTTACAATTAATTTTATAGTTAACATTTTAAGTAGTATATAGGAAGCGGCATTAGATAGGTACAATATTACTGTTATGAAAAATGAGTAATACCCATTTAATATCAAATTATAAGAAACACTATGTCCATGCATTACTATCATTTAGATAATCATCAACTTTATAATAGCCCTTATTCATAAGAGTATTTTTGATCTGAGATTTAAATTTAGTCAGTGGAAGCTCAATCAGATCTTGGGGAACTTTGTTAAACAATGCAATACTACAACCCAGAAATGAACCTCTTAATTACTAATTAATAACTAATACTAATGTAACTGTTTTAAACTTTCATGGTCACTGACATTATAGTAATATAAGTTATTTACGGGATGGTTACCATGTACCTTGTTTTTAGCGAGTTTCCGATATTACGGCACTGTTGCAAGCGCCATGATCACGGAGTAACCGGTTAGTTACTCTGTGATCATAGCGCTTACAACAGTCCCGTAAATAACTTATATTACTATTGTAACTATTTGAAAACATGGTATTAGAATAAGAAACTAATAACGCAGCCTAATGTACTAAACTTGTCTTGTCCTATCAACTTAGATAGATGAACTTTGGTAGCTTTAGTGAAAACAAAACAAATTCTCAAGAGCAATAACAATATTCTTTTGATAATAACAAAACTTTAGGTATTACGACTATTGAGTGTTACTATACTTAACTATAATTGAGCAAATAGCAAAATCTTATAACTACTGGCTGGGCTGCAATGTAACTAAAAACTGTAAACAATCAAACTTTTATATGCATACATGGTCGAACTAACAAAATTTAATGTATTTTATTTTATTTTATTTAGGCTTATATACATCATCATCAGCCTATTAATGTCCCCATTGCTGGGGCACAGGCCTTCCCTATGGATGGAATAGGGAGATTGGGCCATGACCCTCCACGCGGGCCCAGTGCGGATTGGCGAGTGCTAACGACTGCAGATGCAGCCGGCACCAACGGCTTAACGTGCCTTCCGAAGCACGGAGGAGCTCGAGACAGTAATAATTTTTGGTCACCCATCCAATGACCGACCACTGCGAAAGTTGCTTGACTTCAACGATCGCAGCCGAACGCGCTAACCACTTGCGCCATCGAGCTCCTCCATTCGGTTCGTTGTCCAGTTATTTTAGGTTGCAAAACAATTTTTCAGTCGGAAAGAATGATCTCAAAAAAATAAATTGTATTAACAGTTTTATCACCTAGCCTGGTTTGCATCTTACTGAAGATATACCCCGCCGCCGAAAAAGCCCTCTCCGCTTCAACACTGGTTGGTTTTATGGACATCATGTGATCTATATATATATATATATATATATATATACTAGCTGACCCAGCGAACTTCGTACCGCCATAAAAAAATTTAATTAAAAAAACCATTGTCCAGCGGACAAAATTGTGAATCTAAACCATTCTCAGATCCCCTTGAACACACACAAAAAAATTCACCAAAATCGGTCCAGTCGTTTAAGAGAAGTTCAGTGACATACACACTCACAGAAGAATATATATATATATAACCTTTGAGTTATATATATAACTCAAAGGTGACTGACTGACATAGTGATCTATCAACACAGCCCAAACCACTGGACGGATCGGGCTGTTTGGCATGCAGGTAGATGTTATGACGTAGGCATCCGCTAAGAAAGGATTTTGATCAATTCTAACCCCAAGCGGATAAAATAGGGAATGAAAGTTTGTATGAAACTTTGTCAATTTTAAACCGATCGGGCTGAGACTTTGCATGCAGGTATAAGAAAAATCATAGATGAATGTCATTGTGTATAATACAAGCCTGAGAACAAAAATTGTAGTCTACACTTCAGCTCTACACCGAAGCGAAGCGAGGGCGGGCCGCTAGTCTTGAATAAGTCAGAACGGCAACATCGCGGTTCGTAGCGCTTGCCATGCCAATTTTCTACAAGTTGGGGCTTCCGCGCCGCAGTTTTCGTACCTATCGGGCTATCGTAGGATAAGGGGCGGAGCAAGTCTAGGTCTAGGATATTAATAGGCATTCATTAATGATTATGATGACATGAAATAAAGTATATTTATAGATAACCTTCAGACATAGGAAAGAACTCCGCATCTCCAATTAAATACATACTCTTATTTTATTAAGCTACAATAAATATGCTTCTATACCACGTAGACTCAAAAAAATCCCTTTGTACGTATCTACGTGTTTTCTCAAATATTCCTCCATGTTCAATGAGCAAGAAAAATGGCTCGAACCGATTTGCGTTGCGATCTCGTGCGTGCTCATCCTTCGCGCTTCGGGCCAGCGCCATTTTGTATTCCACCATTTTGTGCAATAAATATCGAATGCTAAAGATAGCCGAAGGTACACAAGACGTACAGCCTTAGAGGCCGCGGCGTGAATACCAAGATATTCGAATTGGAGACAAATGTGTGCACGCTCTGGAGATATTGACAAGGACTTTTTTTTTGTAACCTTTTCTGGCTTTGTATGGGGCATTTAGGTAGACAGTTTTATCAGAATTCTGATTTAAAAAGTGAGGTGCAAATGGTTAAGACTCATTTCATAGCCGAATATTTGTTATTATAATAATTCTAGCTTTTTAGGGTTCCGTACCCAATGAGTAAATGTAATGTCTGTCTGTCACGAGGCGGCATCACATGAACCGTGATAGCTAGAATAACGACACTTGAAATTATCATGGCGGATGTACTTCTGTTGCCTCTATAACAGCAAATTCCTAATAAAATAAAAATGTGTGGGTGTACTAGTGTACACACGTAAGAAGTGAAACTTCTTTATGGCCTTATTTTTTTCGAAAAATGATCTACATGCAACTTTCCAGAAATATATATATAGGCGTGCGCTAAGATTTTTCAAAAACTCACCAATTAAAGGGGTATAACTACACCTTACCTTACCTTACCTTACCTTACATTACCTTACCTTACCTTACCTTACCTTACCTTACCTTACCTTACCTTACCAGGACGGAAATACTGCCGGACGATATCGAAATGGAACGGCCGACACCCGTACACCAACTGCTACCGCCTCCCAATAGGATAACAGTTGAATACAAAATTGCCACCAACGATCAGGAAATCGACCGCATTTGCCCGCCAGGATCCACCCGGGTGTATACCGACGGAAGCAAACTTGACACAGGGGAAGTGGGAGCTGCTTTCGTTGCGTACCACCCTGAGCAGAAACATCCCCAAACCACTCGAAAATTCAAGTTACACTTCACGTGTACAGTATTTCAAGCGGAACTGCTCGCTATCCACCGAGCCTGTGAGTGGGCGCTGGGCTCCCGGTCAAACTCATACACCATCTTAAGCGACAGTATGTCCTCCCTACAAGCACTGACTGATCGCAGCAACACAAATCCTCAAGTGGCTCAGATACACAAAACCATACACACTGCAGAACTGGCAAATAAAACTATTTCCTTCATCTGGGTCAAAGCCCACGTAGGTATCAAGGGAAACGAGGAGGCCGACTGTGCTGCGAAAGCAGCTGCAACGCTGCACAGCAGATACAATTACGCAATGTTTCCCATCAGCTACGTTAAACACCAAATAAAGGAAGAAACACACAGTAAATGGACAGAAACGTACAGGGATACTGTCGGTGTTGCAGAACATACCAGAAGGATGTGTCCTGAACTGGAAGACGTCACAAAAGTGATGGAACAGTGTGGCGCATCCTTTTGGCTGTCTCAGGTCCTTACAGGACATGGATATCACCGGCAGTATCTGTGTAGGTTTAAAATCATAGATAATGACATTTGCCCCTGCAATAGCGGGGCAATTCAGAACATTGACCACCTACTATTCGAGTGCGGTAGATATGCAAGAATTAGACACGAATATCTTTCATGCTGTGATTTTCATAAAATCAACCCACGCAATATGATTGAAACAGCCTCAAACGAAAAAACCCGAGTAGCAATGCTCGAATTCATTAAGGGAGTATTTGGGACACTAAAGCAGTTCAATGGAACATAGCCATACTTGGCTGGGTAGAAATATATAAAATAACATATTTTATTAGTAATTAATATTGTATATATATATATATCAACATTATACATATGAACATATATATCGACGATGGAAAACAGTAAGGGCGTATCCCGTTAAAAAGTCGTAACTAGACTACGTATAAGGTAATAATCAGCTTTTTTTTCTGCGTCGATTAGTCTGGGTCCGGTTGCTCTATGACGACATGAAATTCAAAAATAAGACAGTATTTTGAAAAGTGTATTTAATTTTTTGGGTGTAACTGCCCACAAAACAGCGTATTTATACTGTTTGGAGATAAGACTAGTAGAAGTTTGTGTTTTAAATAAAAAAAATGTTACGCTGTTCCTGTTTATATGCACCACAGCTGTTACGACCTTTTTGCGGGATGCATTTTTTATTCTTTCTCGCTTACGACGTTTTAGCGGTTCATATTTTTCTAAGAACAAATAATGACTTCTGAGATACTACAATTTCATGGGTGATTGAAATCAACCCAAACCATTATAAAACCATATTATCACCATAAATATTTTGTACTATGTAGTTAATACGCGTCATAGATCCCGTCATTTCTGGAATATTCTGGTTTTATCTAACATACGCCCCAGGCAGGTTACCTTAGTGGCTGCGCGGACGCCGTAATGAAAGGTTGTGTGTGTTTTTGCTTTAGTGAAATCGGGATGCGACAACTTCTGTGTGTATAATTTCTCTTAATCAAGGTATGTATGTAAAGTTTTAATTACTTAATGATAAGTTCCATAGTGGTGTCGATTCTGGCATGATTATCTAAACTTAAAACTAAATTTAACATCAGTCTCGCCTTTTCACTCTGTATAGAGAATGACAAGGATACACTGCTGTCAAATTTAAGTTTAGATTTAGAGAATCACGCCAGAATCGACACCAATACTTGTGTTATTGGCCTAAAGAGAATGTTTGTAAACAAACTTACTACGTGCTTACCCTTAAAATCAGTTTATATTTTACGTATTTTTCTATTAAAAATTGCTTTGCGTTGTAAGATTTTGGAATATAACTACTATATTGGTAAAAAAAAAAAATATAAGGTGATTTGTTGTTTACAAACATTGTCTTTGGATTTTGGCTCGAGTATATTACAGTCGAGTTCAATAATATGTGAACACTTTCGTACTTTGTCATATTGAAATAATTATTATATTATAATTTCATTTTTTTTAACAAACTGTTAGCATTTTTACTGTGACAAAGTCCGATAGAGTTTACAATTATTGAACTCGACTTTACCTAGTTATTTTAAAATGTAATCAGTGAATAGTTGGTAGCTATTAGATTGATAAAACTGCAAAAATTAGTAGATACCTGTACTTAGGTGCAAGTTATCTTTATTTTCAGATGGCCAACCGAAGAAAATGGATAGATGATCTGAGACCCATAAAAAGTGACGAGGAAAATAATAAAAAGATTAATGTTTTGAACGAACAAATTTACATAGACGGAAAACTGGTTAAGGAAACTAACAATACAGAAAGAAAATACGATAGTATAAAACATGTTTCAAAGTTCCAATACTCTAGTTCTAATGATAGTGATTGGTTAGCACACCTGCCATTGACTCCTCACCTGAGAAAACGTAATGTTAATTCGTTAACACCCACGTTTCGCAGTCCAAATTCCTATATTAGGGAAACAAGGAAAGTACTAAAAAAGTTGACACCCCAAAAGTTGACTTACGCGCCCAGCCAAATGGAAGATTTGGGTACATGTGAAATTGAACATGAATTAGGTAGCATTGACTTCAACGAGCTAATTGATTTTCATGATTTTAAAAATGTTAATGACAATAATTCATCTCTCTTAATCAGTGTGTCTGTTGACCACTTATCGGAAAATAACAACGTACCCCGAACTCCATCTCCTCAACCTGGAACAAGTGACGAACCAGTTACTTACCGAGCTGCCAGCGTACCCCGACCTCCATCTCCTCGACCTGGAACAAGCGACGAACCAGTTACTTACCGAGCTGCCAGCGTACCCCGATCTCCATCTCCTCGACCTGGAACAAGCGACGAACCAGTTACTTACCGAGCTGCCAGCGTACCCCGATCTCCATCTCCTCGACCTGGAACAAGCGACGAACCAGTTACTTACCGAGCTGCCAGCGTACCCCGATCTCCATCTCCTCGACCTGGAACAAGCGACGAACCAGTTACTTACCGAGCTGCCAGCGTACCCCGATCTCCATCTCCTCGACCTGGAACAAGCGACGAACCAGTTACTTATCGAGCTGCCAGCGTACCCCGATCTCCATCTCCTCGACCTGGAACAAGTGACGAACCAGTTACTTACCGAGCTGCCAGCGTACCCCGATCTCCATCTCCTCGACCTGGAACAAGCGACGAACAATCTCGCGATGTCCCAAGCAAACGACAACCCAAACGAAAGGTTAAGCGAGACCACGGTACAAAACCATCGTTCGACGAATCTTATATAGACTTCGTTTTAGATAAAGAAGACCGCGACACTCTATTACTAAATGAAGCTTTTCCTTCAGAAGACTCCGATGACTGGAATACTTCTGTATCAGATGAATCAGATGAAATGCCTAAGAAAAAAAAGAAAAGAAAACAACATAAGAATAACATAAGTGCAGAAAAAAATAAACCAAAAACACAAATAAAAAAAGAAAATAAAAAAAATAAAAACTTGGGAAAGTGTTATAAAAATAGCAAGGGGATCATAGTCGAAGAAAAAGCAATGAAACCAAATCCTTGTGCTAACACTAAATGCAGTAATCGTTGTGGTGAGATAAGCGAGGAACGTCGTGATAGATTATTTAGTCACTTCTGGAAACTCGAAAGCATGCAAAGGCGAAGGGATTGGATAGCTCAGATAACTGAAAAGAATTATACCAAATCCAGTTCTGTTAATGAGCCTGAAGCATCGAGACGCAAATTTACCTACACATATTTTATAAACGAGGGCGAAGGAAGGCGAAAGGTTTGCCAAAAATTTCTTATTGATACCCTTGACATCACTCAAAAATTTATTTTGTACACTGTCACGCACAAAATCGATGGTTTTGCCAAATCTGATGAAAGAGGTAAGAACGTTTCACATAATAAAACACCTCCCGAGATATTAAAGCATGTCAAATCTTTCATTTTATCGCTACCGCTTTTGCCATCACACTACTGCCGTAAGGGTTCACAAAAGCTTTATTTACAGGAAGAAATTAAGAATATTACCAATTTATATTAAGTCTATGTTGAAAACTGTAAGCAAGGTGAGACAAAGCCTATTTCTTTGAAAGTATTTTCAGCATATTTCAAACAAAATTTTAATATAGGATTTCACGTGCCAAAAAAAGACAAGTGCGTCTTATGTAGTGCTAAAACTTACGACGTCCTTACAAAAGAAGAAATTGACAAAATGAATGCACATCTTCAAGAAAAAGAATATTCATATAATCGTTTTATATTTCATCAAAATTTAAATACAAAAGACAAAAGTGTAATTTGCGCGAGTTTTGATCTCCAAAAAGTGCTAAATACACCTCATGGCAAAAATATGTCTCTCTACTACAGCAGAAAAATTTCCGTATATAATTTTACTATTTACGAAAGTGGAACTCAGGAAGGGTTCTGTCACATTTGGAACGAAACAGATGCTCACAGAGGGGCAAATGAAATTGCTACCATTTTGCTAAACTATATAAAAGAAGTAGACAGTAGAGGCTGTGTCAAAACTCTGCTCTTATATGCGGACTCGTGCTATGGTCAAAATAAAAACAAAACAGTATTGAGTATGCTGCGTTATGCATTAGCGAATAGTCAAAATTTAGAAGTTATCCAGATAAATTTTCTAGTTCCCGGTCATACGTATATGCCAGTAGACAGCATGCATGCTGTCATTGAGCGGTCCATCAAGGATACAATGATATGGGCACCTTCTCATTGGCCAACTGTTATTGCCCTGTCACGAAAAAACCCGTTTCCATATAAAGTGGTGTCGATGGAAGGAAAGCAATTTAAGGGATTCGAAGATATTATAAATAAGACATTTAAAAAAACAGAGAAACTCATGATTTCAACCATTAGCGTTGCAACTTTAAAAAAAAATAACCTCAATAAAATGTTTGTAAAACGTTCCATGTCAGCTGAGGCTGAGTGTACAGAAATAACTCTACATCCATTTCAAAGAGAACTATCGCCTAAAGATAACCTTTACCCAAATAAACTGCCAATATCGGCACAAAAGTATGAAGACCTCAAAAAACTTACAAAAAAAGACATACCGGCAGCATACGCTAATGAGTATTTAGGTCTTAAGTATAATAGTAAGACAGTCGACTGCCTACCAGATACAGATGAAGAGGATAATGTCTGAATTTTTACGATAGGTTAAGATAAAGAATTGAATTTTCTCATAAACATTCTGTAAACTACAATACAACTACCACTGTTTTTTCTAGTCAAACATTTACTTCAATCGGATTCAAAGGCAATAAACCACGTATTTCTTGTTTGATTAGAATCAACAGCTTAGTCTGAATATATGTTGTTGTAGTTGGTTTGATTTTATAATTAATTATTTTTATAAGTGTTTAATCTTGTTGTCTATGTTGCACTAGACTTATCTTTAGTTTTATATATTTTCGCTTTGTAAGTAGTGTTTTCTACTTTATCCAATTTCAATAATGTTATTTACCTTTAAATAATTTTCTACTGAAAAGTACCTATTTACTATTGTGGTTAATTGATTACCTTTAAGTGTTTTAATATTATTTTAGTTGACATATAAATTATTATTATTGATCTCAAGTTTTTATTGACGTCAACATTGTATAGAGATCACAATAATTATGATCCTCATTTAAACAGGCACTCGTAAGTACTAAAGTTGTGCGTGTACCAAAAAGTTTTTACCTGTTTGTTAAAATCATAATTACATCCCTAGACACTGTTGTTTTGTCCTAACTCCTAGAGCAGAGGTAAGGAGTAAGTAATTAGTTTATTACATTGAATGTTATTTTTGCTATTGTTTTTTTTTATGTTTTTCAATGTCTATTAGCTACCTGCTTAATATAGTACTACCTATTGTAGTCTGTTTTCAACAAATTGTGCCAATTTACCACATGTAACTTTTTAAAAGTTCAATAAATTTACGTTCGGAAAAGCTTACGACATTTTATTAAGGTCATTGGGTTTCTTGAGGTTTAAATTACGACCAATTTTTTAACCGTTGTTTGCATTATGAATGTGTTTACACCCCGTTCCTAAAAGGAAATTAAAAGGAACACTTGTTACGACCTTTTTGGGGTCAGCGAATTTCTTATAATTTTCTGATTCAGTTCAATCATCATGTCGAGATACTACATTTTTGAGGTCTGCAATTTCTATATACAATGGCTGTAACTCGAATTACCTTGTTTCTAGCAATAGAAAGTTATTGGTTTGCAGTTCACTCAATACAGGTTTTTATTTTGTAGTAATGGTGTAAAAATCATGTTCACACGATTTGCCGTTAAAAAGATATGATCGAATTTCCCTATTTTTTTCTGTTTTTTGGCTCTGGTGTAAAGTTGGGTTTGCACGGGTTACGCCCTTATTGTTTTCCGTCATCGATATAATATCATATAATATCAAATATATAATCAAAAATACATACCCACAGTGAAACACGAATTAAACATCATGAACACCAAAGGTTTTGCTGTATCAAATCGCAGCACACCAAACCTGCAACCTGAAAAACAAACACATAATTATAATACCTTACCTTACCTTACCTTACCTTACCTTACCTTACCTTACCTTACCTTACCTTACCTTAACTTACCTTACCTTACCTTACCTTACCTTACCTTACCTTACCTTACCTTACCTTACCTTACCTTACCTTACCTTACCTTACCTTACCTTACCTTACCTTACCTTACCTTACCTTACCTTACCTTACCTTACCTTACCTTACCTTACCTTACCTTACCTTACCTTACCTTACCTTACCTTACCTTACCTTACCTTGTGTGAAACACGAATATTTGCTGTCGATACTTTTTTTTTTAAAGTTGACAGAAGAAGCAATTGTTCGGATGAGGTAAATAGTGCTCTTTTAAAAAAAAGATGGCGCGTAACCAAAAAACGTGACGCGTAACCGAAAAAATGTGACGGTATAGTAGATTGTTAACCGAGGGTGGAAAGAATCAATTCCCGAGGTATTTAGACGCCCGAGCGCAGCGAGGGCGGCTATAGTCCGAGTAGGAATTGATTCTTTTACCCGACTTAAACACTGTACTTTTCATTTCGAATATGAGGAAAATAAAACTAGTTGTTTATCAAAAATATTTATTCAAATATAGGTACAATAAAATTAGAAGTAGCTATTTAAAATTAATTGTCATATTAGGACATTAGTGAAATTAAAATTATATTCTTATTTGGAATGTTTATGCTGTTTGATATACTATTAGAAATTTGGCTGTTTTGGATATCTGTAAAAGAAGGAGACTCTGTTATTTCATCAAACGATGGATTCCATGGCGGATACTCCCTGGAAGTTTGAAGAAGAAGTGAAGAAGAAATACACTTTCGGAAAACGATTTTATATTCTTCTCTGCTCGCCACTTTATAAGATCATTGTATGTATTCATATATCCTCTTTTGACATTTCTGGCAAAAGATTCTCTATAACACAATTTGCCTCGTCTTTAATTGAATACGGTGTCAACATATCTGAATCGCTTAAACTCATTTTTAATATTCAAATTTAGATTGCTCTGTTTTACTTATAAGTTTTTTTTTTATTCCGTCACAGATACATAACAGTTTAGTATCCCGCTAATTTATGTCGACTTTTTAAATTTAAATATGGAACAGCGTAATTGTTGCGGCTTATTCCACACTGGCTGTCTAGAAACTCACATGGCATCAAATTTTTTTTTTTACATAAAACTCTTCACACCTGACAGTAGTTCTATTTTTAAAGTTCATTCCGGCCCTTAGGCGGGAAGTAATTTGTATGAGTTTTTCCAGCTCTAGGGAGGGAAGCAGCATTTTCCACCCAACAAACAGATCAAAACAACACCACTTTCCGAGAATGAGAAATGAAAAATTTTTTTCCAACGCCGATAAAGAAGTTTCACTTCAATAAATATTTAAGGGGGCTCCTATACGATACAGCTGATATGATATTTTTGCTCGATATTATAATAATATAGTGTCTAATGTTGTATAGATAATGGTACGGCACCCTTCGTGCGTGGGTACGACTCGCATTTGGCCGGTTTTTTTATTATACACATATATTTGTACGAGACTACCGACTTACCACGTAATAACAAGGATGAAAGGAGATTGCTCAGCTTCCATACATGTTTGGCCTAAAGACCAATAATCATGAAAAATTGTTTCTTAGATTCGAAATTATCTTAATATATATAAATCTCGTGTCACAATGTTTGTCCTCAATGGACTCCTAAACCACTGAACCGATTATAATAAAATTCGCACACCATGTGCAGTTCGATCCAACTTGAGAGATAGGATAGTTTAAATCTCAAATTATAGTCGCAATTTTAATTTATTGCAAATTATTCCTTTTGGGCGGTACGAAGTTCGCCGAGTCAGCTAGTAGGTATATAAATTACTGTAGAAACGAATATTATTGACGGACACCCCTGAGAACTTCTATAAACCATATAAACTGATCGATTTAGAGGTTATGTTTTGCAAATAGGTACATAGGTATTAAAATAATAATAAAAAAAAAGTTATATAGTAAACTAGGGAAATCAAGCCAAGTACCGAAATTATGTATAAGATTCAGGTATATAGAGCATGTAGATTAACAGATAGTTGCCTGTTTTTAAAGTTAATGCACAAGAGTAACTTTTAAAATCAGGTGTCATTTCCGGTTATAATAAGGTACTCTGTGACAGAAACTGTGTGATCATTTTGAATGAGCCATAGATTAGAGAGAATTTAAACTCTCGTTAACCAAAGAAAGCTAAGAGATTTAGGTTATACATCCATATCTTCAGTAGCTTCATTATTTTTGTTATGATTATATCTTAGATTTTTAGTGTTTCACACCTTTTAATGTGTTTATGGAGGTGTTTGGCGAAAAATGTATGGCAGTAGACTTTATGATGTCGCCTACCATCTATAATAATTGTTGTCTTAGCACATTTGCATGTAGTGAAAATGATAATATAGTTGTAGATATTAATACCACAGTGTGTATTTTATCGATCTTTGCAAAATAGATTTGATTTTATGTTATGTAGACAACTTCGATCAGTCTTTGGCTGAATTTTACTACACCCATAGCCATTAAAAATGATTCGTATGTTTTCCAAACTGGTAAATATATAAGTCCTTTTTAAAATGAATATTTTATACAAAGGTGTCCGTTAAAATCTAATGATTATAAAATAAAGTATAAATTACGCCAAGAATTACCGTATATGTCAATATTTTTTGTGCATTTGGGTCAATTTGAGCAATCTCCTTTATAAGTGCAGTGAGACGCTTAGGTTAAAATAAAAATATAGGAAGATACGGCCTTGAAACGTGGAGTACAAACCACTCGGTCAAGGAGGTCGTCGCACACAAACATCTGCCACCACCGGGATTCGAACCCGGGATACTAGAAAATAGTTCCTAGTTGCATCCACTGGATTCAGGCCTACAGTCTAATTCGGTTCATTAAATAAAGCTACAAGATCTGGCTTCTTATAATATCTTACACCACTCAACGACACAAGCAGCACATAATATTTTCGGGGACTCAAGACGAGCCCAATAAAAACACGCAATCCTATGATCACGGAAAATGTTAACCGAAAACAGGTGCGCTGTCCTTGTCCCTCTCACGTCTAATAGGCAAGTGTGAGAGGGATGGAAGCTAAACGAGTTAGGGATAATTTGCACCCACTCCAGATCTTATTACGTAGTAATGAAGGAACGCTATCTAAATGAGGATGGGACCGAAAAGTATTTATGTACTTATGCTTAAATTCCAGGACGTAGGCCGCAAATTTATCTGCGTTTGATGGCGACGAAAATTATAGCAAAAAGACCACAAAAAAGACCTTTTCTAGCCTTTTTCTAGGCGAATAGAATAGAATAATTCTTTATTGCAAAACTGTTACATTTAGTGAAACTGCTAGATGTTAGTGCACACAATTGAAACAAACAGTTTCCCTAATTAGGCATGCAATAGACATTTTTACAAATCCTTATTAAAATATTCCTTTAGATTATGAAATGCATTACATATTAACCATTGATTCAGGGATCTTACAAACTTATATTTAGGAAGTCACCGCAGAATGATAAAATGCGATTATTATATATGCCCGATATGCGCAATTAATTCTTATTGACAAAGATACTAAGTTTGTAAATATGTATATTGAGATAAATAATATAATTATTATAAAATTAATAATATAATTATCTGATAGTCCATGGAAGATGGGCCGATACTGGTATGGGATGCAACCTGTTCAGACACGCTGGCCCCTTCCCATCTACATGGAACCAACAACAGAGCTGGTGCGGCTTGTGAAGCGCAAAAGCATGCAAATACAGGGGTCTAGGCTCCGAATATGATTTTGTCCCATTCGGTGTCGAGACCCTTGGTCCGTGGGGTCCTAGCGCTATGAGGTTTTTTAAGGAAATATCAAAAAGGTTAGTCGACATCACTGGAGACCGAAGAGCTGGCAGCTACCTCGGACAACGAATTAGTCTAGCTATTCAAAGGGGGAACGCTGCCAGAATCTTCGGACCCTTGCCTAAAGGGACTCCTTTTAGTAATATATTTTAGTTATTGTATTATATTTCTCAAGGTTTTTAGTTTAAGGTTCATTGTTCCTGTATATAATAAATTTAGTTTTTTTTTGTGGGTATAAACTTTTAATGTCGTGTACTATTATATTATATTGAGATATATGTGGTTTGCATATAGGTTTTTATCAGTTTAAGCTTACACCCTAAATATATAAAATAAACAAAAACGTTATGTACCATTTTATTTTAATAAGTATACATACGTAGTTTAAATAAATTTGTACTTATCAAATTTAACAGAATTTCCTTCAAATATTTCAACATTTCAGATAAAACTCATGTTTTCTGGTATGTTTTCAGCAAAATCCGTCCTGGCGACAATAAAAAAATGACTGATATAGATTCGTGAACTAATTTTAAATCACATCTCGGATTTCGAGGTGAAAATTGAGTTTCTTCTTAAAGAATAGCACTTTAGTTGTTGATGGTCTGATAACACCTCAAGGTTAATTGTGTGAACCAATATATTTTATCAATATTTCTTCTTAGACACACTAATTAGCTTAACTCCGAAGTAAGCCCTGTTGTGGTATGTTGGGTGATGGCGGCTGGTTATAATAAAAAGACGAGATAGAACAGAGAGAAAGATAGGTTGGTGTCCATTTATTGAAGAAGACTTAACGGTACAAAACATACTTATTTATAATATGGGTGTACTACGTAGTTACACACACACACACACACACACACACACACACACACACACACACACATACACACCCACACACACACACACACACACACAACATTATTACAAAACACCAGCATTTCAC